GGGTTGCGGGTCTTTGGCAAACTTGAACATCCCTGACTCAGTGACCCGCATTGGGAATGGTGCCTTTCAGAATTGCACCTCTTTGGTAAATTTGACCATCCCAGACTCGGTGACCGACATTGAGGGTGATGCCTTTAATGGGTGCAGCTCTTTGGTGAACTTGACCATCCCAGACTCAATAACCTACATTGCAAATCATGCCTTTCAGAATTGCAGCTCTTTGGTAAATTTGGCCATCCCAGATTCGGTGATCCGCATTGAGGGTGATGCCTTTCGTGGGTGCAGCTCTTTGTTGAACTTGACCATTTCAAACTCAGTGACCCACATTGGGAATGGTGCCTTTCAGAATTGTACCTGTTTGGTAAATTTGACCATCCCAGACTCGGTGACCCACATTGAGGGTGATGCCTTTCGGGATTGCACCTCTTTGGTGAACGTGACCATCCCTAATTCACTGACGCTCATTGGGAACAGTGCCTTTGCTAATTGCACCTCTTTGGCGGGATTGACTATCCCAGGCTCAGTTGAGCGTTTTGGGTCGCATGCTTTTGAGACGTGCCGCGTCGCAAAGCGCAGACGACACAGCTGAAGTTGGAATATAGCCATGTTGTTGCAGTGATTTTGTAGTACCGGCATGCGCAGGCTGTCTGGGTACAGATTAGGACGTTAGCTGCGCTTGAACATTGCGAATACAGCTGGTTTCCAAATATGGCTGGTGATTAGTCTCCAAGAATGCTGCCATCGCTGCACGTCAGCCGTCGCTGGAAAATGATGAACAATGCATTCACCATCGTGAGGCGATAGTCGTGGTGCGCGACAGGGTTGGTGAAGTCGCAAACGTGACATCGATGATTCATGTTTGTTCCATATAATATTTTCTCTTCAAAGCCGGTATTTGAGAGTCCCTATTTCAATACACCCCCATGTCATCTTGATTTGGACTTCACAGAACTAACAGAACTACAGTTTCTTCTCTTCGACCTGAGCATCATCCCCGTTGAAGACGGGCGACCACCCGTCAGCACGTTTTTGAGATGGGCAGACCCAAGGCAAACGGTCGAGATAGCATGGTTTGCCATGTCTTAGAGGTTGAGAAGTAGGTTGAGAATGCGCATTTCAACCATCCATGTGGAACGCAGGGGAACGAACCATTTAAGAGATCAGCATGGCTGGATGGCTTTGCGAACAGCACGTTCATAGTACAGAGAACAACCTAAAGACATCCAAAACATTCTCGAACCATCAAATCTTTTCACAGGAACCTCCTTCAAGTCCTTGGTGTTTATCTTACCTTGAGCTAGCCAAAACATCAAACACCTCAATGTTGGAATCGCACTCCGGCGCAACTCCACCCGCTCGCGCTCTTGTCGGAAGCGACGAAGCGCCGACGGCACCAGATCCTTGGGCATCGGCTGGCACCACCCGGCCTCGCGCAGCGCCTACCGCGCGGGCCGGCACCGCTCCATCGCCTGCGAGGCGTCGCGGCGGCGGGCGGCGGAGTCGCGGCAGCGGCTGCGGAAGCTGTTGGAGGCCAGGGAGGACTGGTGGAGATGGTGGAGACTGGTGCTTTATTGTGTAGGGAATGCGGGGAACGACCTCCCTTAAAGAGATTCCTTATAGGGTCCATTCATGGCCATTTCCTCATTCCTTGCGAATTAAGCACCAGTCAGATTGTAGAGCTGGTGGAGAAGGTGGAGCTGGTGGAGACTGTTAGAGGTGGGGTCAGGTGAAGATTTGAGTTGTTACAGGTGGGGTTATTGGGATCAGGGATCAGGTGGGTATGATTTTTTAATAGGAAGATACCCAACCAATGGGTAGACGGGCCTTTGTTCCTTCTTCCAGAGGGTCTTTGAGAGGTCTCCCTACTTTAAAAAGACATCCAGGTGGCTGGTGGAGTTTGATGGTGGGTTTGCGCCCGGGGAAGTTGAAGACGGAAGAGGTGGAAGGTCAATGAACATAGAACTCAATAATATTATCCAATATTGATATAGACATAGATCTAACAGAACCACACATACAAGTGATTCTTGTCTCACTCCCTGCTGCCCTTCTTGTCGTGTCGTTCTTTTTCTTCCTACTCTACGGTCACTACAGCGGCAGTGTCAAGTGTTGGATAGGTGTTTTCGCCGTGAGGTGTGTCTAACAGCCGTCGAGGTCGGGGGAATGAATAGTGGGAGCATCCAGTGTCTGTCACCTTCAAGGTCAATCAGACTTGCAATTCTACATGGACGGTGAATTTTCACGAAGGCAAACTTTGGTGGGAGGTCAAGATTTTTGATCCAGATATCCTCGTTCTTCCACTGGTTTTATACTGAGGACGGTGCCATTCTAAATGGTAGGGGTGATTGCTCTCACCTTCCCAGAGAGGTTAAGTGACCTTATAGGACCCTACTGGGGTACCGAATTGGGATAGTCGAAGTAGGGTCCTTCAACCTCTGCTGGTTCTTCCCTCTTCGACCTCATGCGAATGCCACCAGGCAGATGATCTACGGACGGGTCTAGTGCCCTTTGGCGCGACGGGACGACGGGGAGGACGGGGACGGGAGGGAACCCCAATCGAAGTGGAGCGAGGTGTTCCTATTCCAAGGATGTTCTAATTAGGTGAAAGAAGGTGAAAACCACCCGCGACCTAAGATGCTGAGGGAGGGTTTAAGTTGGATGTTTCAGCTTGTGTACGTTCTTGGTCTTTGTTTTGACTGGCTTGCGGAGGTTTACGGGACATGTTCTAAGAGTGTTTAATCTTAATGGGTGCGTCTTAAATCGTTGGCTCTTATATAAACATGTATGTAACTCAATATAGGTCCCATGTTCAGGTTCGATTGTCCGGGAGCACGTTCAGTCCTGAGATGTTCAACATCACCGCAGTCTTTTGAGAAAAGAACATCAACATCATTCACTCCTGGAGATCCAATCCATCCATCTCTGACTCCGAAAACCGTCCCGCGACTCAGTCCATGAGACCGTCCCCCCGCGCGCCGTGTTCGGTTCCTCTCTTCCTCGGCCGATGTCCGGTTCCCGGAACTGGTCCCAAGAAGCACCGGGTGCTTTGACCCAGCACAGACCAGTGGTGTGGCTTTTCAGGAAGTGGCTTCACACAGCAGAACACAGAGATGCCATGGTTTTTTCGCCACGTTGCAGCGAAACCAACCACCAGGGGGCTGTTTCACAGCACGGCTTCAGAACCAGGGACGGTTCCAGAATGTGCAAACCACACCGAGAAGAACACGGGCATCCTTCACCTTCAACGTGACCTCTTTCGGATTGGAGTCTCTCTCTCTCTCTCTCTCTGCTACCTGTGACCGACCGATGGTCACTCGCGACCGATGGTCTCTCTGGCCAGAAGAGCCCTGAATGTCATTTGAGCACTGAGTCACTGCACTGAATTCCATCGGTCAGTCTCTCCTGTCATTGTTTCTCACTCTGAAGGTCCTGGCCCTCTGGCGATGGAATTTTCTTGCACTGACAAGACCGAGCCAGGTGTGGAAGTCTTGAGTGTGGTTCTTTTTTGAGCTACGTACTGTACGGCCCAGTCCGTCGAATCTACGTCAAATGTGGCTTAAATAGCCATGTTCTCAATTCCCAGGAGAGCCCTATTCTTGAGCCACAACCATCTAGGAAACAAGCCCATCGAACTTTGTTCGAAGGTGTATCCCCTTTTGCAAACCCTCACTTCCCAGCACGAAGTCCTCCATGTTTGCTCCATTTCCATCCATTCTTGCCACAGTTCACTTCGCCCAGGCAGACCTTTGTCGCAGAGATCGGCGCCGCGCGCAGCCCGCTGGCTGCCGTGGCCAGCTTCGAGGGCGTCGTGGCCGCGCTGCGCGGAGAGCTGCTGCTGCCGCTGCGCGCGCTGAACGACGCTCGGCAGTGGCAGGATACTATTATACAATAGATGCGGGAGTTTTTTGGGAGATTGAGGTTCAGAATCACTGGAGTTTTTGGATTGATTGAAAGTTCTTGGAAGCATTTGCTCTAAGTGATTTCCACCGCAAAAAGAATGCCCCAGCAAAGACAGGCTTTGGAGTTGCTGGGGTGGGCAGGTTCCGATCGAACTTCTTCAATGGCTGGCTAGAGCGTTCTCCACCGGGACTTGCGTCCGAAAGTTGGATTGTGTGAGGACTCCAGTGATAGCTTTGGGGCGAGTGATAGGTTGGTCCTGAAAACATCAGAAAGGTCAGGAGGGTGAGGGTCTTCCACATCAGATCAGATCAGAAAGGAGAATCAGATCAAAATCAGATCAGACGGTCCCCCGCAAAAAAACGAAGCCTTTTTGGAACCTTCACCGGTTTAGAGCACCTCGAAGAAGAGTCGCTGAGAAGTACGCTGTGGGAAAGCAATCTTGATGGTTTGGGTTGATTTCGGCACAACGGACTCACATGCATCCTTCAATGTTGCAGAGAGTACTCTAATGTAGAATATTCCATGGAACACATGTTGCTTCATATTGATGGCTCATTACTCTTAACTAAAAAAACAAAAATGCACATCGCCATTGAAAGCGGGGCGCCGGAGAACTGGAGACTTGCATGAAATGGCAACATTTAGAAGAAAAAGACACGCAGATCAAAAGAAAAGACACACATCGCCATTACAAGAAAGAAAGTCTTCGTCTTGAAAACCGAGCATGTCCATGTTTTTTGGTTGTGTTTGTTTTCAGCTCATTCACTTCTATTTTTGAACACAAGAAACGGCAACCCCCTTTCCCGTCGCATCACCGTCGCGCATAGCGCGGCCGTCGCGCCCTCCGCCGTGCACGGACGGTCCACAGGAGTGCGAGTTGACACGGACCATGAACGGGGCGCCGTTGCCCAGCAAGGACCGCATTTGGGGGGGCAGGGGCGGGGGCGGAAGACGACACGTTGACGACGGTAGCGGGCGGGGCTGGGGAACGCGGATCAAAACCGCTGGTGTTGAATCGAACATCAACATCTCTGTAGATTTTTGGTTTTTGGAGCACCTTGTCCCCAAAAAGAATCAACCCGGCACCATCTCTCCGCATGCTTGCAGCTCCACAGCTCCTGCAAGAACCTCGTCCACCCTTCAACGGGTCCGTGTTCTGCGACGCAGGAGCTGCGCAAGGTCACTGAGGAGTTGATCAAAGCGGTCCTTGGCAAAGAGGGCGGCTTCCCCGACTGGCGCTACAACTCTCCCTGCGGCCAGGACAGATGGGACAGCGGAGGGCGGAGTAGTGGCCAGGGGTGGTTCGGCCCATGGGGCAAGTCTTTGAAGTGGGACTGCCCAACACCTATCTACCATAGAAGATCATAGAAGCAATGATATCACTTGCAGTTGGGTGCAACATCGTTGTGTCCCGAAAAAGGAGTGCCACATCACGTCCAGCACGGACCAAGTGGTCCAAAAGATGATCGGTTTCCCGAGTCTGACAGGCTCCATGTTCAGGCAATCTCCACCAGATTCCACGCGTCCCGGTTTGCAAAAACATGTCCACCCTGCGCACTCCTGCAGTTGATGTACCCTGCGCACTCCGGTGGTTGTTCTCTCCCATCACGCGCCCCCCCCGATGGCGATATCGAGCGGCTGACCCGAGCCGCGAGGAGCAGCTGAGGGGCTTGACGCCGCAGCAGATCGAGCACTGGCGACAGCCGACGGCCATGGAGCACCGGAGAGGCAGATGGAGTTGTGAGACGGTACGGACGGTGCATAGAAGCAGGAAAGGAGAAGAACGGAGAATAGGAGGCAGAGCAGGTTGGCAGTTCTTTTGTCACTCAAAGAGTGGTGCCTGTGGCGTATTTTCATTGAATTTGCTGGGTGACTCCAACAGGAGTGGATCACTGGCGAGTGAGTGAGTCCGAGTCTATTGAGATCTATTGAGCTTGCAAACACCCATCGTTTCTGAATGTTTCTGTCGAACGTCTACTGATAAATACGTCGTTTCCTCTTCTTTCAGACATAGTCACCCAAACAGGCACACCTCTTCTTCAGCCACCCCCCCGGCCTTTTTCCTTTGAACCTCCCCCCCAAAAGGCGAAGAAAGCCGCCTCCCAGCCCCCCCCAACGCCTCCCACTTCGCACATCGCCGGCCAAGTCCTCGGTCCGAACTCTCACGTCCTCTGCCAGGTCTGGTGACCCACGAAGATGGTCCCGGAGAGCTGGGCTTCTTCTGGGCCACGAAGATCGGAGGTCCCTCGCACGGCTTCGACTACGCGCCTGAGACGGCACAAACCGACGAGACGGAGCGACCGGAACGAGTGAGAGGGAGGTGACGAGTGACTGCGGGGAGCGGTGTGGCTCAGTCCATCGCGCGACAGCGCTTGATGGACAAGGGTTCCTGCACCAGCAGACAGCAGTACGCCTCACAAGGGTCATGTAGCAACGCCCCGCACCCCATTGAGGAGGTGGTGCAACTTTGGGATATGTTTTTTTCTCACTAGCAAGACAATGTTTCAGAGGGTTTCGTCCATCATCAGTAGCTCTGAGAGGAGGCTTTTTGCTTGCCGCTCTCTTTAGAACCTTCCGCAGTTGAGGTCGAGTGTCCAGGTCGCATATCCGACCAGCACTTTTCAGCTGCTTTCCCTCGGTTTATCCAATTGGCATCTCTTCTTGGCCATCTTCTTGATTCCTCCGGGTTGAAAGTTCATGTCATCCAAAAACCGTGGCTGCATTGTCCAAGCCATACAAGCTAATGCAGTCCTTCGTTTTTGACCAACCGTTGTGGGTGGGACAACGGGCCTTGTGGCCCACTTTGAAGGAAAACAGTGGTCATGTGGGGCTCGCCGGGTGGCGGTCATGGAACCATTCGGGGTAGATTGAAAACATCATCGTCCCACAGGTAGACCATGTCCACTTGGATAAAAAAAAGCCTTTCAAAACCGAAACCGCACATACATCCTTCAGTTCTCATCCTTCAGTTCTCATTCTCTTTGCACTCCGGAAGCTCCGGTGTCCGGGAACTTCTGGGAAGACCGACCACACCGGAGCATGCTCCGACTCACCCCGGCGCATCCGAAGATCGATCGACCGACGTTTGCCTACACGTGCGTTCCGGACGCGGGGAGGGGATCGAGGGGGCGACCGTGCCAAGGAGACGCAGTGCATTTTGCCCTTGCTGTGCAATGCGCGGCACAAGGTGAGCCGTGTGGAAGCAAGAAGGGTTTGGGTGAAGAATTGGACCACATTGTTTGTGGGGGGGCCTTTTTCTGCTGCTTCTGGAGTAGGGACCTCGAAACCGAACGATCCTTGCCTTGAGAAAAGGATCAAGGCTGCATTGGCAACCAGTTCGTATAGTCAAAACATGTTCCTCTCTTAACCAATCCGATCGGGTTCAAGGACCATCCAGCAGGACACCCCCCAGACGTTGGATGGAGTATGTCATTGATCACCCCGGACGGATGGTCCTGTGTCAGGACCTCGGTTCTTGGATGTTCTTGGACACCCCGAATCACCTCTAAGGGGCTATTTCTAGACACCTTTTGGATAGAAAAGCAGTAGATCCCCACTTAATTATATGGAAATGATTTGAAAAAGAATCCGAATCCCACTCTTCATTTGGGGACCAATAAAAAGACTCTCAGACGGATAATTGTCCTGATTTCTCATGCTGTTTGTTGTGCTTCGAACCCGACCGGAACCGACCTCGTGGCCGGTGCAGGTCATCTTGGTGCACGAGCCCTCGTGGCCGACGCATCCGGTGGGCCGGGCGCACTGGCGATTTCTTTGGTCGGTGGGACGCTTGGGCGGCAGAGGACCATGGGGAGGACGCATGGGTGGCATAGGTGCTGTTCTCTTGGAGAATATCGGCCGCTGTTCTCCGGAAAAGGAGGGTCCCTTCTGGAAACGATGTTGCCCAAAGATGTTCCCTCGGATGTACCTCCATCATGAAATATGATGAAACCGGAAAGACACCTCCATCCAAACCTAGCTTTCCAACTCCGTCGCCCACTCGCGTTTGTCCGTCCACTGAGTAACTGGCGACTTCCAAGTCTTTGGACTGCCAAGTGTCTAAAAGCGATCAGTTTCTGAATCAGAAGAACTTCCTTTTCCTTTGCCCAAAGTTCTGCAGTTCTGAGACATCCACCCGTCAGCATCAGCATCCCACCTTACCTGCCGGTCGTCTGTGCACCACCCCAGGCAAGAACGGCAAGAAGGCGCCTTCGCCGCGGCTGTGGCTGGAGACCGTGAACGCCGACTTCGACGCGCCGGTGACGAAGGAGGGCTGGGAGCCGGCGGTGCTGAGCCACGCGATTGCCAAGGCGGAGGAGATGAAGGTCACCTTGTCGGTGGCCCGGCCACTCCTCCCATCAGCCAAGAGGGTTGCTGGTGGAGCAGACAGGGGAGGATTCGCGGTGGGTTCAGCGGTTGGGAGAAGATGTCGGGGCTGAAGGGAAGGGCGGGGAGAGGAACGGGGGAACCAACAACAAATGGCAGAGGTGGAGCTGCTGGCGGATCGGTCTCTGGGGGTCTGGTTGGAGCTGCTGGTGGGATTTTGGGTGGATGATGGGCAATGATGGGATGGTATTTTTCCTGAAAACATCGAGAACCTTGCTACATAGTTTGGTGCAATGAAGGAAGACAGCGTTTGATGAATCATTCTTACCAGTCAGTGAAGAAGAGTAGATGGAGTGGATGACTCATCACCTGGCGCCACCCGGACTTGGGATCGCGCCAAAGCGGATGCGGTGCACTGAAGTGGATTTGCACTACTGAGTCCTTTAGAAGCACAGGAGTTATGGATATGGTACGGTCCATCAGATACTGCAGGATTTCTTGCAAAGGAGGGGGCAGCCAGATCTAGTTTGGTGCGCACTGACACTCTGTAGAGTCTGACACCCTGGGCAGTGAGCATGGCGACTCTGTGGTGTGACCTTACCATGGTGGGTCTTGAGTTTGAACCCTCTATCCACCGTGCCGCTCCTTCAAGGCGGTGATATTCTTTCCAATCACAAGTGACATATATGACATCCTGGATGCGACGTCTACCCCCCAACCAGGCGCTGACGTCCCAAAACCATGAGCTCTTCAGACTCCTGGCGTATCTCCTGACATCGTCATGTCTGCCACTGGCGCCACGTCTTCAGGCCTTTGTCCAACGCCCGAAACCGTCCGTTCGACCGGACCGTCGGACGGCCCAGGTGGACACGATGCTGGGCGATCTCCTGCAACGGCTCCTGGACACGAGCGGCGCGACCGCGGTGGAGGTCGCCGAGCGGATCCTGCTGCGGCCGAGCCACGCCATCGTGGAGGCCTCGGATTACCTCAGCCGCTCGGGTCGGACCGGGGAGGTCGACCGAGACTCTGACACGATGCTGGGTGGGGGTTGGGTGGACATCACCTACTATGAGCATGCACAGTACCACAGCGTGGCCTGCGAAGTGAAACCAACCTATAGTTTTGCTTAAGGTGATCCTTTATTTTCTCTATGGTTATATCATGTTGAATCCCCTTCTGGGTCTTTGTTCCAGGTTCCTTAAATCCAAGAGTAGTAGGCTTTATACTGCTTAAAAAACTGTTTTGCCAACCACGAGCCACCATCCTCCGCTTTTCAGCCTGTGAACGGTGTCGCGGGAGAAACTGCCCCGTTGAGTCCACACACCAATCTCTCGTCAGGGTGGTTTGGATATTGCTGGCAATACCCGACCCACCCGTTGGAATAGCTAGCAGCTACACTTTTCCAACCAAGTCTTAAGAGCGAAACGTTTGGTCAGTGGCCCAGCTGGAGTTTTCAGTCAGTCCCTCAGCCCCGTTCCCCGTTCGTTCCCATGCTTTGCGTCTCAGGTTATCAACATGACTGGGTTCAAGACAAGGACGAGATCACCGAGCCCATCCCCCGGGCTCTCTACCAACCCGTGACCGCCCGCGGTCACGAGTGACCGCGCGGAGCTCCGTGACCGCTCGCCGTGCCCCAAAAAGGTGGCGCCGAGTGAAGCGGCGCCGTTGCATCGCCGGTCCTGTTCCGGTGGATCCTGCAGGGGAGGAGGGACCGTCTGGGTGAGAAAACGAAAGAGAATGCCAAACAGCTCCTGGGATGCAGCTTTGTTGTGATGGAAGGTTACGAACTGCCAAGACTCTTCGTGAGGCATTTCTTGATTGAGTGAGGTCATCGGAAGAGAACGGAAATCATTCGGATGTGTATTCGGAATTGGGGAGTTGAAAGACACCACTCATGCCATCCACAAAGGTCAGTCACTGCAGCCCAAAGCACCATGTGTTTCACCATCCAGTGTTGAGCAGTTCAGTTCAGACGTCACCGCATCGCCGCCAGGGGATCGCCACACTGATGGGGAAGAAACATTACTTTGTACAGATGATGTGCGTGCGAGCTCAGGAAATGGTGAGCTTCGCGCCGCTGCCAAGGGCACGGGGGCGAGCGGGTTCCGCTGTGAGGGTGAACGATGCCCGACTGCATCAGGCAAGGTGCTTGGTAGGATGAGATGGCAGGCCTGATGGCCGACGACATTTGATCTTCCACCTGCTGGGGCTATGTAGGGCTGGTGCGAGGGATGTATGGTTGGCTTTCACGATTCTATTTTTCCAAGACTTGTGCTTGCGGGTAAAATCTCCAACACTGCCAGAGATGCATCGAAGAGCTGTTGCCTGGAATGAACCTGCTTGACTTCACACACAGACATGCGCAACGCGTCCGGCTCCACCCAACGGCCCTTTCCCCTTGCAGGAAGAGAATGGACAACCGCCCTACCAGGCCTTTTCTCAACGACCCAAAGGGCTCCGACGGGGGCATCTCTTCACCCAAGACATCCCAAGACCAGCGGAGCTAGCTCGGAGGGGACCATTTGATGCACGAAGCTCCCTGAAATGTGTTGTTGTTATTTTTTTGTGTGTAGTAGTGTACTATAGACAGCGACAGCGACAGCGACAGTGCGCGGTGATGAATTCTTTGCTTTTTGCTAAACATTGTTTGTTCGTTGATTTTAAATGGAGGTTCTACCAGTATCTACCAGTATCCCCCTTACTTCGTGCCCTTATGAAATGACATCCTTTGAAGATATAGAATGACCAAACGGGTCACGATCTTATAAATGGGTACTGGGGCAAGTTAGGGACAATCATAGGCCCAGACAGGAAGTGGTCATTTTACAAAATCCACAGGTGATATGAATTTATAAAATGGACTTGTCACGGTATGTTCCGGGCAGAGTTGGCCAAGGTTTGTCAGGGTCAATTTGTAAATCCAGAAATCAGAGAAAAGTCCGACGTGAAGCAGAGTCTATTAGTAAAAAGCGTTTTTTCCTTTCACACCCTCACATTATAAACCTGTGATTTGTGACTAGATTTGGTTATCTCATGTTGCCTCATTTTATAAAACACACTTTTCACATTTTTGATGAAGCATCGTTTTATATTCACAGCGCTTCGCGCTCGAAGCCGCCCGCATGGAGTGTGTGCGTCTGTTTGTTTCGGTCGGTCTGTCTCGGTCTGTCTGTTTCGGTCTGTCTCTGTCTGTCTCGGTGTGTTTGTCTCGGTCTGTCAGTCTGTCTCTCTTGGTCGGGCAGGACCGCGAATGTTTGGTCCGAATCCACATCGAATCCATAGCTTTTTTTAAAATCAACCTTCAATAATCTATGCAAAGCACAGCATTTCCTATCTATCGCTTGCTAACGCTAAGGATTGATCTAGAAGGTTTACTACGGCTTACGCGATACATCCACAACGCCTCGGCACCTTCGGTGCGGGCGGAATTGCAGAGCGCTGATTGCTCAAACAGGACGCTCATGATCTGATGTCCATGTAGTTATTTTTTAAAAACACTTGCAATTTTATCATTTTTTGGTGTCTTAATCTGGGCCACAGGCCCCTTGAGTAGGTAAGGGATCTACAAGTTTCTATGTCATTGCCGCCTTCTGAAGCGAAAGGCCTTCTGAACCTGCTTGCCTGAGTGCCTCAATGGCCCCAGCCACCTGCCAGGTAAGCTCCGACGCCGGCGTCGCAGGCCCTGTACACAGTATTCCGCGCTTCACACATCGGACACCCGTGGCGCAACCGATTCAGCTTGGGATTGTAACCCACAAGAAACATCCTCTGCTAGTGGCAAAGATGGTCTCGAATCCTTCCAACACAATGAAAGCAAATGGACCACCGCCGAAACGATTGAACTTGAAATTGTTTCTGGGTTTCCTTTGGGTCTTTGGCGATGGTGGCGTGGGGTGGGATCCAGCGGCACCGCTTCACATGGTCCTTACAGTGGGCTTTAGATGTGCAGAGCCGGGTCACAGCATGCCACCAGTTCTTCTTCAAATCAGTGTGGACACACTAGGGGTTCTTACGGCAACAGCACTCTGTGAACCTCGAAGTGCAGATTTCGTGGCAGGCACAGCACTGTGTGAGCCTCGCAGTGCAGATTTTGTGGCAGGCACAGCACTGTGTGAGCCTCGCAATGCAGATTTTGTGGCAGGCACAACACTTTGTGAACCTCGACGTGCAGATTTTGTGGCAGGCACAACATTTTGTGAACCTCGAAGTGCAGACTTCGTGGCAGGCACAGCACTTTGTGAACCTCGACGTGTAGATTTTGTGGCAGGCACAACACTTTGTGAACCTCGAAGTGCAGATTTCGTGGCAGGCACAGCACTTTGTGAACCTCGAAGTGCAGATTTCGTGGCAGGCATCTAAGACCTGACCGCCGAAATTCACCGAATTGAAGCCATGGGGGTGGCGTTCGACGACCGTAAACAGGTCTCCTACTCCAGGGCGCCCGGACAGGAAGCGCTACCTAGGTTTTAAGTATTGGTGTAATTCTCCAACGGACTGAGTCTCCTGAACCTGGTGAAGAATAGAAGTGTTTCCCGCCGGCCGCGCCAGACCACTAGCGGCACGCAGAAGGAGGAGGCGGGTCGCATGGGTGGATGCTGAAATGGAAGGCACTCACCAACCATGCCAATCATTGATCCGTGGCTGAGGCCAAGAGTGGATGAATCTGTAGATTTACGTTCGGCGCGCCAGCCATAGACACAAGGAGCCAAAATAACTTATCAAATTATTAAAGCAAAAACAGCAAAGCAAAAGCAACAGTAAAGCAAACAACAAAACAACATGTAGTTTTGTTTCTTTCGCGGTACCACTTCTGCACTCATGAGAACTTTTGCCCGTCAGCAATATTCGCTGTACGTTCCTGGAAAAAAGCGAAAAAGTAATACCAAAAATAATGTGAAAATAAAGAAACAAATCAAATTAAGCGAAAACAAAGTGAAAAAACAACAAAACACATGCAAGCACAAAGCAATTTGCGCTGCTTTTGCATGTTCATTTGCTGTTGTTTTGCATTATTATCGTTTTTCACAGAAAACATTCTTGATTGTTGGTCATGTATGGCTGCCATCGTTGAACATAACTGTATATGGTTTAGACTTTTGAACCCAGAACCTGAGCCTTCTAGGGCCTTGCAAACCATTCCTCTTCAATGTGTGGGGTACAAGCTCAGACAGCTTCGTGGGTTTGGATGATTGATCGAATGCTATTGCATGAAAAGCAGTCTAACGCTGCTATTCCTCAAGCGTCGCAAGCGTTGGACACTACTCTGGACCATTTTTGGAGATCCGTTTGTTGCTGGGTGAATCCGTTGATTCTGGGTCTTGAAATTTGGCATGTTATAGACCATGATATATCAGTGAGCAAGGCCTTTAGTACCCATCATAACCATCATACACTGAGGCCCTGGTAATAGGATAGACCCAAGTGACGGATGGGGTACTGTGGTCTTTTGACTTCCAGTTTGTGGCCTCTTTGGGAGCCGGCGAAATGCCCAGGGTGACACATGGCTGAAAGTGGCGCTGAGGGGCATGCAGCGTTCGGCCCCCAGGGTCGAAAGGACGTGGAGATCGATTTGTTGGGCAAGACTGCTTCACTTTGCCTTGTTTCAGCATGGTACTGCAGGTAGCGGAGGGAAGGTTTTTGATCTCACTGCTTCCCCGTGATCGAATCAAACACGGTCCAGCCAGAGGGGAGAGGAGAAATCGAGGCCGCTCTATTCCATGCCTTTGAGAAGGTTCAGATGGACTTAGTGAAGTTTGAGTCCTCGCTGACATAGCCGATCTGAGGTGAGCGCGACCGCCAGGCGGAACTTGGGAGCTTGGGATATCCTCTCCCAAGACGGGCTTGGCTCAAAACGCGGAGTCCAGTCGACTATCAAAAGAATGGCCTGACTATAGGGGACCTGATTTCGGGAACTTCCTTTACTTCAGCGTCAATTGTTTCCGTCTAACTGGACTTCTATATAATATATATTTTTATATTATAGGGTACACGGCGTATATCACACACAACCTGACCATGCGTTTTTGTTCCGATCCCTTGAAGAAAAACGGACGTCGGACACCGGGTCCCACTTCAGCGGGTGTGCTTGGCAGCATGGCGCAGCGCGTCCCTATATTATACCCTCAGCACCCACGCCGCGACGCAAACGAACACCATATATGCCCTAGACTTCCAAGACCATTAAAACAATGGTTGACCTGGTTTTTCTAATGTAAAATCCTTAGTTGATTCGGTAAAGCCTATTAAATTACATTAAATTAATGGTTGTTGGAAGCCTAGGGTATACCCAGACACTCCATGTCTGTCATATATGCCGATCAGGCCAGGGCAGGCCTCCCGCATGCTGCCCGCGGCCCCGCGGCACGGCGCCATTCGACCGTAATTTGATGTAACTCAACCTCACCGAGAAACAAATTCCTCGACCTAAACAAAATTAGACAAACAAACAAACACACAAACAATCAATCAATCAATCAATCAAACAAACAAAAACAAACAAACAAACAAACAGCAAACAACGAACGGACGGACGGACGGACGCACGAACGAACAAACAAACAATACCCCAGAAAAATGCAAAAA